ATGAATATATATTTTTAAACTTTATTTATTTATTTTTACATAGTGCTGAACACAGTGCCTCACACATGCTAGGCAAGCCTCTACTACTGAGCTATAATCCCAGCCCCCTTTTTCTTTATTTAGAGACAGGTTCTCACTAAGTTACTTAGGTCCTTGCTAAATTACTGAAGCTGGCTTTGAACTCACAATCCTCCTGCCTGAGCCTCCCAAGCCACTAGAATTACAGGTATGCACCACTGTACCTGGCTTCACATGGTTTCTAGTAGAATTTAGTTCCTTGTTGGACAGAGACCTTCAGGTCCTCACTGACTTTTGGCCAAGACTTCTTTCAATTCCTTGCCATGTGGGCCTCTCCTTGGAGCAGCTCACAACAAGGAAGTTGATTTCCATCAGAAGGATCAAATGAAAAAGCCTTCAAAATAAGCCAGAGATCTGGGATGTAGTTCAGTGGCAAAGCATCTGCCTTGCATTCACAAAGCCCTGGGTTCGACCCCCAGTTCCAAAAAAAGACAAAAACAAGCCAGAATGCAGGCTGGGGTTGTGGCTCAGTGGTAGTGTGCTCACCTAGCATGCATGAGGCACTGGGTTCGATCCTCAGCAACACATAAAAATAAAGACAATAAAGTCCATCAACAACTAAAAATATTTTTTAAAAATTCTATTAAAAAAAAAAAAGCCAGAATGCTTTTGTAACCTACTCTCAGAAATGACATCCCATCCTTTGATACTGTCTCACCATTAGAGGCAAGTCACAAAGTCAGGCTCACATTCGAGGGGAGAGGATGACAAGAGCATGAATACCATGAGATGGGGATCACTGGAGCTATTTTAGAAGATGCCTATCACAGAAGCCAACATTGAGATAAACAGAGCCAAGAACCAAGATGGTGACCCACTGACTTCCCTGCAGCTCTTGAATCCAGATGTCAGGTTTTGTCACTGGCAATATTTTGAAATGTGCTGAAGTGGTTGCCCAAACATTGGGGTGGGAAGACTCATCCCCGTTTGTCTAAGACATTCCTGGATTTAACATTAAAAATTGTATGTCCTAGGAAACTGCTCTATCCCAGGCAAACTGGGAGAGTTTGGGTTCAAATCCTGGCTCCACTTACAAGCTTTGGGCAAACCACCTCACCTGTTTTCTTACTTTTATAATAGGCATCAAAATATCTACCTTGGAGGGGCTGAGGTTGTGGCTCAGTAGCAGAGTGCTTGCTTAGCATGTGTGAGACACTGGGTTTGATTCTCAGAGTCACATATAAATAAACAAAATAAAAGCCCACTGACAACTAAAAAAATTAAAGAAAATCTATCTTGGAAACTGCCCATGTGGATTAGAGAGAATTTATGTAAAAACATGGTTATCTCAAAAAACGATAATTTGTTATTATAAGCAATTGGGGGTACTCAGACAACTGTAACATTTTTCAGATAAGACACGTGAAGATATTTCCTGGGTTCCAGGATACCAGCTTGATATTCAGATGCTATAGCTGTGTGCTAGGACCTAAGGAGGTCTGTTTGATTTCTCTAGGACAGAGCTGCTCAAAAAATTAATGCTTAGGGGCTGGGGCTGTAGCTCAGTGGCAGAGCACTGGCCTAGCACATGTGAACCACTGGGTTTGATCCTTAGCACCACATAAAGATAAGTAAAATTAAGGCATTCTGTCCATCTACAACTACAAAAAAATTTTTTTTTTAAATTAATGCTTAGGGTTTTGTGGAGTGCTTGGGCATGTTTGGTAACTTGGAGCAAAAGCAAATCAAAACCACTTCTAAAGTGGCATTTAAACATTTAAGCACCCCTTTGTTTAAATGTGACCACCCTAAACTGTCTAAAGTGCACTTCAGACCTTTTCACAGATGGAAAATGGGTACCAAAGGTGACATGAGGACCCTGATACAAAGAGTTGACCATGGATAATATTTTAAAGAGGTTATTTGCTTGTTCCCTGAGAGATCACCCCTGGTTTCTAGCGTACCAACAACCATTCCTTTTAGTCACTATCCTATTCAGAACTCTTATGGTTGCAAATGACAGAGCTATAACTCAAATGATTTGGCAGAGGGAGATTTCTTGGCACAAGTAATGGCCAACAATCTATGGAAAGGTCATGAAACCTACTATGGCTTTCTAGGAACCTTGTCTCTAACTTGCTTTGACTAGCTTTACCACAAGGCTAGAAACATGGCTACTCACAGCTCCTGATTCCCAATTGACTGCCTTCCACAACCAGACGACTCCCAGCTACTCTGATCCCAAGTTCAAAACCCCAAGAAAGAGCTCTCATTGGCTCAGGTGGCCATCCTTGGATCAATCATCAGTGACCAGTGATACAGAGAAATTTGAAATATAGAGGCTCCCTAAAAACCAACTGGCTGAGGAAGGGGCAGAAGCAATTCCTGGAAAGGTGTCTAGTAAAAAGGCCTGAAATTAAAAACTGCACAATGATTTAACAGTAAAAAGACACCTGTGAATCTAGAAGAGGACCACAAATTCATGTCCAGAGAAGCACATTGGAGGTCAATCAGATGACTATTGATAAATTATTCCTAAAGAAGTGGTCACTGTAGTTTGCACTACATACCTACATATAGCCCCGCATGGTAAGGTTCCTCCCACCTAGCATGCAGAGCCTATAAACAGTCCAGTCTTCCTAGACCCACATTGGTATGTACTGGAATCAACTGGGAGTTGGTAAATAGGCACTTTCCCAGGCTTTCCTCTCAAATTGTGATTCAATAGCCTAGGATGGAGTCAAAGCATCTCCAAGTTTACAGAGTTCCCAGGTGATGCTGCTAAAGATGGTCTATGGACTATGCTCAGAAACCATGTCCCAGGCCAGGTGTAGTGGCGCACACCTATAATCCCAGCGGCTCAGGAGGCTGAGGCAGGAGGATTGCGAATTCAAAGCCAGCCTCAGCAAAAGCAAGGCACTAAGCAACTCAGTGAGACCCTGTCTCTAAATAAATACAAAATAGGGCTGAGGCTGTCGCTCAGTGGTAGAGTGCCCCTGAATTCAATCCCCAGTACCCACCCCACATTAAAAAAAAAAAAAAAAAAAAAAACATTCCCCAGGCTACCAGTCCACAAATCATAAAAATAAAGCACCCAGCATATATATGTGGTATGTGGTTTGTGCCCAGGAAATAGCCCCAGAGAGGGCAGTGCAAATCACCCCAGAGTCACAAGAGAATTCTGATGCTCATTCAGTCCCCATGCAGAGTTAAGTGTGCACCTGGACCTCCCATGTCCTGCCCTGAGCCTTCCCAGGTGAACAAAATAAATAACAACAACCACATTTTCATTTTAGAAGCACTTGGTTTTATTGCACAGAAGCAATTGAAAGTGGACTCCAGTGGAAAGTGCGCCCTGTTGTGATTCAGTGGCCAGTGCCCAGCCTCATGGGCTCCTGCTCTTGCAGAATAAGAGAGTGCTGGGCAAGGGCTTGACCACTCCTTTGGAAAACAGAAGGCATTCGGGAATAGGTTAAGACATCTCAAGCATAATGTGTTTCTAACTGCTCATTCATTATTGCGGTCATCTGTCAGTACATACAGGAAGTAAATGCACTTATTTGGAGAGGAGGGGGGCAGTTTTTGTAGTCAAGTGTTTACGTGTAGCATTCGGCATATTATCACATTCGGCTACATAAGCTATCATAACATAGTTGTCCATCGCCTGGAGAGGGTTTGGGACACGGGGTGGGGAGGGGGTCAGGAACTGGGAGTGCCCTCTCTTGCTACCATATTGTTAACAGAAAATCCTGTTTGGTGAAGGAAGGCCCGACATCAAAGCATGTTTTTTTTCTTATAGAACAAAAAGGGAGGAAAAAAAATGAAAATTCATTAGACTGACCCTTGAGTTCTGGGACCCTCCTAAGTTTCTTTGGCTGCTCTGGGGTTCCTTTCTTACTGCCTTACTTTTCCCCCTTGGTGGCCTTGTCCTCTGTGGCCTTCTCTGCAGGCTTGCTGTCTTTTTGGTCCGTGCTAGAGGATTTTTCAGCCTTTTCCGTCTTGGGTTTGCTGGGTGTGGGGGCCTCCTTGCTGGGCTCCTTGGAGACACCCTTGTCGTCCTCCTTGGCCTTGGCCTCCGTTTTGGGTTTCTCCTCTGGCTTCTTGGCCTCTGCGGCCTTCTCCTCCTTGGTGTCTTTCTTTTCGGGTACTGCTGCTGCCTCTTCTTTCTTTGGCTTTTCTGGTTCCTTCTCTGCTGGTTTGCTGGGTTCGGCTTCCTTCTTGGGTACCTCAGTCTTGTCTTTGGGTTTAGCTTCTTCCTTCACCTCCGCCTTGGCAGGAGCCTCCTTCTCCGGGGTCGCTGCTTTCTTCTTATCCTCTGTCTCTTCCTTCTTGGCCTCAACTTTGGATTCTTTGGGCTTCTCGACAGCAGCTTCCTTCTTGGCCTCCACCTCGGGCTTTGGAGCCTCCTTCTTGAGAGCCTCGCCTTTCTTGCTGTCCTTCTCCTCAGTTTTGGGTGTGGCTGGAGCCTTCTCTTCTGCCTTCTTTGGGGACTCTTTGGGTTTCTCCTCCTCCTTCACGGGTGATTTCACCTCTTCTTTCTTTGGGACCTCCTTCTCAGGGGATTTGACCTTCTCTGGGGATTTGGCCTCCTCCTTGACAGGGCTTTTGGCCTTGTCAGGGGATCTGGTGTCTGGTGGGGACCGTGCTTCCTCCTTCACTGGAGTCTTGGCTTCTGGAGACTTTACATCTAGAGTCTTGGCCTTCTCTGGGGACTTTGCTTCTTCCTTCACTGGGGACTTGGCCTTCTCTGGGGACTTTGCTTCTTCCTTCGCTGGGGACTTGGCCTTCTCTGGGGACTTTGCTTCTTCCTTCACTGGGGACTTGGCTTTCTCTGGGGACTTTGCTTCTTCCTTCACTGGGGACTTGGCTTTCTCTGGGGACTTCGCTTCTTCCTTCACTGGGGACTTGGCCTTCTCAGGAGACTTGACCTCAGCTGGTGATTTTGCCTCTTCTTTTACTGGGGACTTGGCCTCAGCTGGTGACTTTGCTTCTTCCTTCACCGGGGACTTGGCCTTCTCAGGAGACTTGACCTCAGCTGGTGATTTTGCTTCATCTTTCACGGGGGACTTGGCCTTCTCTGGAGACTTGGCCTCGATTGGTGACTTAGCCTCTTCCTTGGCTGGGGACTTGGCCTCAGCTGGTGACTTGGCCTCGTCTTTCACTGGGGACTTTTCCTCAGCTGGTGACTTGGCTTCTTCCTTCACAGGGGACTTGGTTTCCTTTTCTGGGGATGCAGCCTCTTCTGCTGAGGGAGACTCTGCTTCTTCTTTTCCCTCTTCTGCTTCTTCCTCTTCTCCCTCTTTTTCTTCCTTGCCTTCCTCCTCTTTGGCCTCTTTCTCCTCTTCTTCCGTCACTTCTTCAGTTACTTGGATCTCTTCTGTCTGTTCCTCCACAATCACAGTTTCCTTCTCTGACTTTTCTACCACCTTGATCTTCTCTTCACTTTTGACTTTTATGTGAGTGGATATGGAGGGAATTTTCGGGAGTGCCTCTGGAAGAGAGAAAGGACTTGGGCCAAAGCCGATCCGACACTCTTCACCTTCCAGAAGTTTTCTGCAAAATGGATAGTGGAACATATTACTCTATTAACTCAGAGCAGATTTGTTGGTCTGGGGTCTTCCTAGGGTATCCTGAAGCTCCATGGCATCCAATGACATGAACTTTGGTGAGGGAAGGAACATGAATGAATGATAGTTTTTTTGAGGGGGGTGGGGGCACGGTAATAAGGATTGAGTCTGTGGCTGCTTTACCACTCAGCTACATCTACATTTCAGCTTTATTTTGAGACAAGGTCTCACTAAGTTATCCACACTGACTTTGAATTTGAAATCCTCCTGCCTCAGCCTTCCAAGTTGCTGGGCTTATCAGTGTGTGCCACTGTGCTTGACATTTTTATTCCTTTTTATTAGTAGTTAGTTTATTTATTTAGGTGCTAGGGATCAAACCCAGAGCCTTGCACATACTTAGCATGCACTCTACCCCTGAGTGACACCTCCAGAAATAAACACTTTGGAGAATGGAGAAAGTGACCTCTAGACCTATACTATCCAAGTGACCTCTAGACCTATACTCCTATGGGGTTGTTCTTACTTAATGCAGTGGACACTGCAATTTGTGAAATTAAACAACTCCCCTTTCCACACCTGAAGAATGGTCCATAATAGAGAGCTCCTACATAAACAAAAGTGGTAAAACTGGTGGATCTCAGCAACAGAATACTTGCCTAGTCCTGGGTTTGATCACCAGTACTGCAAAAATAATGATGATAATAATAATAATAATAAATAAAGGACAGAGAGAGAAAGAGAGAGCAGGAAGCAAGCAATTCCACATTGATAAATTTAGTTTAAGAGGTCTTACAATATTGTCATTTGAATTTTTCCTGTCACTCTTTATCATTATCCTTTAGGTTTTAGAAAGAGGGTAGTAGAAACAGTTCCTCCTGTTGGCTTTGCTACTAACTAGATAGTGACGTTGGCCAAGTCATTCAAGCTCTTAAGGGTTCAATTTCCTTATTGATAAAAAGAAGATCATTTGGGCTGGGGCTGGGGCTCAGCAGTAGCGCACTTGCCTGGCATGAATGAGGCACTGGGTTCGATTCTCAGCACCATGTATAAATAAATAAAATAAAGGTCTATCAACAACTAAAAAATATATAATTAACCAAAAAAAAAAAAAAAAAGGATCATAAGAGTTCCTACTTCAGAGGGTTGTTTCAGTCAAACAGTGAATAAAAAGGATTTAGCAGAGTGCTTGCCTTACAGTGAATGTAGGGGTAACCCCTACAGACTGGTGCTTCCCAATTTTTAAAAAACATGTATTTATTTTAGTTGTAAATGGACCTTTATTTTATTTATTTATATAGTGCTGAGACTTGAACCCAGGGCCTTGCACATGCTAGGCAAGCGCTCTACCACTGAGTCACAACCCTAGCCCCTGGTACTTCCCAAAGTTAACAGCACACAAATCACCTAGGAGCCAAATGCAAATCCTGATCCAGTAGCCAAGGACAAGGCCTAAGTCTAACTAGGTACTAGACAACATTGATTCTGCTAATTCATGAACCACACTTTGAATAGCAAGATTAGAGATTAGAGCCAGGGGTTGTGGCACATGTCTGTAATCCCAGCTACTGGAGAGGCTGAAGCAGGAGGATCACAAGTTTGAGGCCAAACCTGGGCAACTTAGCAAGACCCTGTTTCAAAATAAAAAAGGGTTGGGGGTGTAGCTTAGTGGTAATGTAACTTTAGATTCAATCCCTAGCATGGAGGGCGAATTATAGACTAAATAAAGTCAACAGGTGGGGGTTGAGGGGATATAGCTCAGTCGGAAGAGTGCTTGCCTCACATGCACAAGGCCCTAGGTCAATCCCCAGCACCTCAGGGGAAAAAAAAGTAAAGTCAACAGATGGAAAGTCAAAAGTCATCAGTCTGCAACTAGGAAAGGTCCTCATGGGGGTCAGCCCTGTTCCTCAGACCTGCTAAACCAGAAGGGCTCATCCAGGGGGACTGGCTTTCTCAGAGCCACCCTTACTAAGTAAGGGTGATTACCATGTACATGTATTACTTCGATTAGTTTAATAGGATTAGCTCACCCAACAACCCATGATATGGATCCTGTTATTATCATCTCCATTTTACTTCTCCAAGAAATGAACGCTTAGAAACCAAAGGAACTCTAAAGGAACTAGGTGTAGTTGCATGTGCCTACAATCCCAGAGACTCAGGAGGCTGAGACAGGAGGGTTGTAAATTCAAAGCCAGACTTAGTATTAATGAGGCTCTAAGTAACTTAGTGAGACCCTGTCTCAAAATAAAAAATTTTAAAAGGCTGGGGGTGTGGTTCAGTGGTAAAGTACCCTGGATTCAATTTGTAGTACCAAAAAGAGAAAAAGAAAGAAAGAAATTCTAAAGGATAGAGTTGTAAAAGCCTCTGACAATTTAAGTATCTATTTCTCTCCAGAGCAGGCCTCTGGCTGACTGGATTTGAAGAAAAGAAGAGTTTTAACTCCTTAAGTCACTGTCGGGATTTCTGCCTTTGCCAGACATGGTGGCACACACCTGTAATCACAGCGGCGGGAGGCTGAGGCAGGAAAATCTCAAATTCAAAGCCAACCACAGCAACTTAAAGAGGCCTTAAGCAACTCAGAGAGACCTTTAGATAAAATATATAAAAAAGGACTGGAGATGTGGCTCAGTAGTTAAGCACCCCTGGACTCAATCCCCAGTACCACTAAAAAAAAAAAAAAAAAAAAAAAAGATTTCTGCCTCTCAGAGGGGTAGACTGGTGGTACTAGGGGTTACTAGGGTTACTAGGGGCTAAGGAAAGGAGAGAACAGGGGATGAAGTTTGAGTTCAAGATGATAAAAAACAGTTTTGGAGATGGATAGTGATAGGGTTATACAACAGTGCAAATGTACTTAATACAACTGATATTTAAGATGGTTAATTGGCAAATATTATGTCATTCATATTATCAAAAATTTTAAAAAATGGCTTCTGTCTTTAAACAGCCATGTTGCCTAAATAGAACTTGAAACCCAAGGTTTCACCTAAAACACAAGGGCTCTCTGCCATTCAGCAGCTCCTGGCCCAACTCACCTATAAGCAGCAATCTCAATATCCAGAGCCATCTTGACATTCAGCAGGTCCTGGTATTCTCGGAGCTGGGCTGCCATCTCCCACTTGGTGTTCCTCAGCTCAGTGTCCAGCTGCTGAATGGCTTCCTGGGGATGACAGATCATATGTGTCACTCTCTAGTTAATGCCTATCCCTTATCACCAGGATATCTGGGGCTGGCTGTGTAAGCCCAAGCTGCCCTTCCCAGTAAGGCTCAAGTGGGACCAAACCCCATCCTATCAAAGCTTCAGGGTCCTCATTTGTGGACATGGAAAAATCTGAAGCAAAAATCTCAGCTTGAGGAAAGGTCTAGAATGAAATGTCTCAGATGCTAGCCTGGTCATGAGATGATGTGTGAATTTTCACAGATCTCTTAAAATTAGAAAATGCTCAGTGGGGGGGCTGGGGTCATGGCTCAGCAGTAGAGTGCTCGTCTCGCATGTGTGAGGCCCTGGGTTCGATCCTCAGTACCACAAAAAGATAAATAAAATAAAAATATTGTGTCCATCTACAACTAAAAATATATATATTAAAAAAAAAAGAAAAGCAAATGCTCAGTGGAACCAGAGCCTTATCTGCATTTTCTCCTTACTGCTTCCCCAGTGCCCCAAAGAGCCTGCCTGCCACATCATCAAGGCTTGAAAACATCTGTTCTTGATGATCTAATGACAGGGACAATACACAAAAGCATATTAAATACAAGATAAAACTTGTCATCTCACCCTAGGCCCACTGCAGCCACAGCTTAAAGAGAACTATTATCACTTTTTATTTTCTCTTATTTGTTTCTCTGCTTCCTAAAACTCTATGATCACTATATATTACTTATATGCTGTTTTTTGAAAGTTATCTTTAATTGGAGGAATCTGCCAAGGCCCTCCCCAGGCTACACACAGGTTACTATTAATTGGATGTCCTACTGAGCACTTCAAAGTCTGTCTCTCTTTTTAACCTTCAAAGTTCTGTAAAGCAAGTGTTAGTTTTTGTTTTTCTTTCTTTACCTTGTCACTGCGGAGAAGAAATTTAAGTTCAGACAGACCAAAAACTCTCCTGGGTCACACAGCTACAAAGTCCTGGTATGTCTAACTCCAAGAACCATGGTCTTAACCACTGCATCCTGCTCAGAGAAGGGGAGTGACTTGTACAGGTCACTCAACCAGGAGAGGCAGTTTGTCCCTATGTCTACCTGGTAGGATGCAATGTCAGCCTGATGACGGTCCTCTAGCTCAGAGCGCTGCCTCTCCAGGGAATCCTTGGTGCTTTTCAGAGCCTCCAACTCTGTGGTCCTGGCCTGCAGCTGACGCCGGTACTCAGTTATCTCCTCCTGAGCTGAGCGCATGGCATCTGTATTCACTTTAGCTGCCTCTGACAGTCGGTCCAGCCTCACTAGGTAGAGAAGGGAGCAGGGCACAGGGTTAGACACACCTAGATTTGGGTTCCAATGCCTAGATCTGGAAGGTGACACACATGGGTTGGGGAGTTAGTGGGTGCCAGGCACCATGGTGGATGCTTACCTCACTCTATGCTATGAGAAAGGCAAGTGATCCAGCCTAAAGCCACCTAGCTAGTAAGTGGCAGAGTAGGATTCAAATCTAGTGATTATATCCGGTTCCAAAGACTAGACTCAGTCTCCCTCAACCTAGAAATTTATATCAACCTTCAGGGGACAGGAAGCTCTCATTTCTGGTCCCAGTACCAGGTCCAGCTCCCCAGCAAGGGGCCGGCACTGCTGGAGACTCAGATGTGAAATTTTGCCCATGAGGTTTAACTGAGCTGAATGCTGGAGGCTTGTGGCTGAACTTGTTAATGAGCCTGTGACCTTTGAAGGCATGAGAGTTCTGAGCAATCAAGTCATCATGCAGCCATGGTACCTTCCTTACAGACTTCTGCGCAGAGTCCAAGATCACTGCAAGTCCAAGGTCCTGGGTGTCAGCCCTTCTATTCCGTCCTCAACTTGGCTGCGCATTGCATAGCACAGGAACCTCCCAGTTGATGGCAGCCACACCCTGGCCCCTGCCACCCACAGGCTCCTAGTTCTCAGAAGACCTTGAGGGGGCCAGTGGAGGCCTTTAGATTGGTTTACATCCCCTGAAAATGAACATCCTGAATCCCCACATAATAGCACTGAGAGCCTGAGTCTTGGTGGAGAGAAGCCAGCTGTCTGGACCACAAGCCCTGGGATGGTTTGCCTGAGTGAAGGGCAAATTCAAGAGAACAGAATTCCCCTCTGGGAGTGGCCTTGCTGCAGAGATGGGGGAGGGGTTCTGCCACTGCAGATGGGTAGAAAAGGAATGGGATATTCCAAGTATCCAAATGAGCATTCCTGGCTTTCCCTGCCAGTACTGGCAAAGACTTAGAAATCTGTCCAGGTGGGTGAGAATTCTAACCTATTGTGGATTGCAAACTCATTTGAAAATCATTGAAGCCTCTGCACTCTCCCCAGAACAAAGCAGTTTTACAAACAGTTTCAGCTAGGATCATATAAGTCTCCAGACTGAGAAGGTCATTTGGTCCACCCAGCTCTTTCAATCAAAAAGAAATGAAAACCAGAGAGGGCTAATGTTGGTCAAGGTCACCCTGCAGCTGCTGGGCACAGCTTTAGGATAGCTGCAGTCCAGCTGACTCAGGACTACGTGGAGTTGGGTGGTGGTGGGGATTTGGGAAGGTTCCAGGTTGCTTAAGAGAGGGGATTTAAAATAGTGAAGAGGACAGCCTCAGCCATTCTTGGTCATTGGTTGTGGTGACCCACCTGGGGAGAGAGGATGTGAAAATGCCCCACCCATTTCAACCCGCACTGCAGATTAAGGTGGGGGCATTAGGCACGGAGCAGGTAGTGGGGCGGAGCCTACTAGGGTAGGGGCAGAAGAATGGAGACCCAGAAGAGTGCAGGAAAGGGAGATGGGCGGCACTTACAGGGTATGCACTAATGACCAGAAGCCAGCGCTACTTTGGAACTAGAGACAATTTGTTTTGTTCCTAATGGGCAAAAATCTCAGACCAGGGGGCCCCAGAGTGGAAGCACAAAGAATCTGGAGGAGAGCAACCAAAAGAGAACCCAGAGTTGGTGGCGTCCTACAAGAAACCTGTGAAAGTTACTTGGGGGCATGCACTTTGCGAGGGAAGCTGAGTTGTGAGCCCTCTGATTCTGCTACACGGAATCCAACAGCACGCCCTAGGGTCAACCCAGGGGGCAGCTAGCTGCAGGGGCACCCCTCCCCAACCCCCACGCGCCTGCGCACCTCGAAACCACTCCTCTGACTGCAGCGTGCTCTGCACAGCATGGCCTTCGAGTTGCGCGCGGATCTCACGCAGCGCCGACGTCACGTCGCACTTCAGGGCGTCGCGCGCCTCGGCCTGCGCCTGCGCCTGCGCGGCGCCGCAACCCTGGATCTGACCGAGCAGCTCGCCCACCTCCTCCTGGTGGTGGCGTCGCAGGTAGCCGCACTCCTCCTGCAGTGCCTGCGCCTTTTTCTGCAGCTCGACTCTCGCAGCTTCGGCCTCCTGGGCGAAGCGCGCTAGTGCGCGCGCCGCAGCCTCAGCCTCTTCGCGCTGCCGGGCCTCGTCGTCGAGGCGCTGGCGCACGTGTGCGATGTCCTCGAGCAGGTGCTCCTGCTCAAGGCGCAGCTGGCCCCGCGCCGCGCCCAGGCGCAGCACTGCGCCGCGCATCTCGCGCACCTCGCGCTCGTACAGCTCACCCATGGCTGCGCGGCCTGCCTGCTGCTGTCGCAGCGCGGCAGCCTCTCCCTCCAGGCTGCGGTTGTGCGCCTCAAGCTGCCGCACCTTGTCGATGTAGCCCGCGAAGCGGTCATTGAGGGCTTGCAGCTGCTCCTTTTCGCTACGCGCCGCAGCCGCCGCCACCATGCAGCCCTCTGGCCCGTTGCTCAGCGTATCTAGCGAGTCGGTGCTTGAGGCGGCGCCTGCGCCACGGAAGCGGCTGGGCGAGGCTGACACGGAGCTCACGGACGTCCGAGCCCACGAGTGAAATCCGCTGGAGGAGCCGGCCGCCGAACGCGAGCCGCCCTTCCGGGCCAGCGCATAATGCAGGCTGCCGCCTCCGTGCAGCGGCGCGAACGGGGCGCCCAGCAGCGCGTCCGCGCCGCCGAAGCTCATCATGGCCAGGCAGGTGCGGGCCGCCGGCAGAGCCGGAACGCGGGGCCGGGACGGGGTGGGCGGCACTGCGACAGCTCCGGGACGCCAGCTCTTTTATAGCCGCCTTGGCCGGGTCCAGCCCCTTGGCAGTGGGGGGCTGGGGAGTCGGGCCCCGCCCTCTCCACCTCCTCCCCCGCGGCCCGGGGCCGACCGGCTTAGCCGCAGTGAGAGGGGCGGGGCAGGGGGAGCAAGGAGTGAAGGGGAATCGTCGCAGCGACTGAGGAGTCTCCCGAGGTCAGGGCAAGAGGTGGAGGACTTCCGGAGAGTACTAATGGGGACCCTCAATGCGGGCGGGAAGACCCTGCTAGTGTGTTTAGAATAAAAGAGGGGACCTGATATAGGGGAGAACAATTAGACTTGGTAGGAATCGGGGGTGGGTGCCTTCGGGGTGGAGCGTTGAGATATGCTGTGATCATTAGGATGAGGGGACCCTTGCATGGGATGGAGCACAAGGTTTTCCTAATAGTTAGGCCTTGGGGATAGGAGATGCAGAGAATCTGTAGCGGGTCCGAAATAATGAGGGAGCCAGGCAGTTGAATGGGGGCACGGTGTACGCTGTAGAGAATAGATAGGGGACTCCTACCGTGTTCCCCTAATTGCTAGAGCAGCCACTGGGAGAGGACTTAAGAAACTCTGCAGCTGGCTCTGGAATAGGGAAGGAGGACCTGGAGTTGAAAAGGACAGTAAGGCTACCCTGAATTGGGGTATGGGAGACACTGCAGAAAATGGAGAGAGGGACCCCTGGGTGGTGGTGAGGAAAGAGTATTCTTTAAAAAGTCTGCAGTGGTGCCCAAGATTGGAAGTGGGAGGTAGCAGCTGACCTCAGCAATAGGGCCTCTAAATGAAGGGACAGAGGGGTCTCCTGAACCGCGGGGAGGTGGGCTGTGTTTGAGGGGCAGAGTTCTGTATGCTGGGGTCAGCTCTGTAGTTTGCTTGCAGAATGACCTTGGACAAGTTCTGTCGTCCAGTTCTAGCTTTTCCTTTTGTACAGTGAGGGGGTCTTGCCCTAGGGACCAGCTGCAACTCTAGAACCCAGGACCATTGTGGAGGAAGGTCTCCAGCTGAATTAGAGGGGAGCCCACATATTGCCTATAGGTATGACAACCGTTTTCCCACAACTAGAATATCTATCTTTCTCCTTCTCTTTTTCATCTCCTCAGTCTCAACTTTTCACAGCCCAACCCCCACAACAGACAAACTGACACCTCCACAGGCATCCCTTCTCACTCCCAAGGAAGTGGTGGGATGCTTTCTTACTACTCAAGTCCCTCATCCCCATGAGCCCTAGTGGGGAGTCAGGCAGAAAAAGGGGTTCCTTGGGTTTGGGGACTCTGCAACTGCTTTGTTATGAGGCTCTTTCTTGGCTTTGCTTCATGTCAGATGCATTGGGAGTGGGGGTGGCACTGCGGCTGGCATTTCATCAGTGACAGAGCCTGCTTCTTGTTGGGGACATAGGGGTTAATCTCTGCCTTTGCCTTTACCTTGGAGAGGGGAGGGGTGCAAGCTGTCTCTTGCCCGGGCCCTGTGCTATGCGGATAAGAACTGATGACAGGGTGGGTGAGTGGTCCAGAAAGTCACAGTGGGCCAGGGACCCACTCCTGGATGTTTCACTAGGGATCTATTTTCTGGGAAGTTCTCCATGCAAACCTGGCCTGTACTCCTTTTCCATTGGGAGCTGAAAGGACCCCCAGGGATACCCTGACATCCTCTGGAAATCAGAATAGACTCCCCTCCCAGATCTGAATCTCCCCAAGGCAGTTATTTCAACCCCCACTGCACCCCCAGCTTATCCTCTTTTTCCTTCTTTTAGGATCCCCAGGACAGAGACTGACAGACCCTCCAGAAAAAGATCCCTGCCAATCCCTTTCTCTTTGCCCTCTCTCATGCCCAGACAACTGGTGTTAGGCAGACCCTGAGAGCTGGGGAAGTGATGGTGCTGTTCCTTTAACCATGTTTTACTGGAAGGAGAGTGCGCTGGGGAGCAGGGAAGAGGGGGAAGGGAGTTTCTGGCTTTGCATGGAGAAGCAGAACATGATGAAGCATTTTTTCCCCCACTTAAAGGTCCAGTCATGCTTTGGTTTGCAGGGGGGCAGAGGGGCTGGTTTGCAGGTGATGCTGGGAGAATGAGGTGAGTGGCTGGTCTGAGGTACTGGAGAAAGGCATGGGGTAGAGGGGTGCTTGGGCAGGACCCTCTTGCTGTCACATGGCTCCCCAATTATTTTTCATTCTGCTTGGAATTTTGCCATTTGATCCTTCTTACTTTGAGTCTCATCAGTCCTCTGCACAATGCAGATACTTGCTCTGGGTGTGGGAAGGCTGATAGGAGGGATGGGAGTAAAATAGGAGGGGGCAAGATAGATTTGTTAGGGCCAGAGACCTCACCCATCAGATTACAGCTTGCTACAGATTCCAGAAATCCAAAGTATGATTTTTTTATAGCTGGAAAATTGGCACAAGATCTGGAACCCTGAGGTCATTCCCCCAAAAGACCCTTCAGGCTTACTAGAAAGCCATCCTTGGCCTCCTGCCCCTCCCCACATTTAGGTAATTGTCCCCTCCTGAATGTTCCATGGTCCCCAGTGTTAAGTCTTAGCAGTACATTCACTCTTTGTCATTGTGTGAATGAATGATGAGTGAATGAAAGAATGAATTCCATTAGTCCTCCAGACAAACTTTCGGTCTAGAAGGAACTAAGAATGATTCTGCCCTGAATCTGTGCCTCAAATCACTTTCACCTTCTTTCCTGTGGTTCTTACCACTTGGAATTGAATGGAACAACTTATTATTTCATCCATCCTTCATCCTTCCATGCCTCCATCCATCCATCTCTCCCTCCCTCCCTCCCTCCATTGCTTATTGAGCACCTGTTATGCTATAGGTACACACTAAATGTTGAGATTATAATATCCCACAAGCTTCTAAAATTGTCTCTGGATTCTCAAGTTCTTCCCAAATCCCAACTCATCATTTCCTAAGGCACTTTCAAGATAAGTGCTGTAGTCTGGATCTTGAATACCCCTGAAAGGCCCATGTGTTAAAGACTTGGTTTTCAGGGTGGTGCTGTTGGGAGGTGTGGCCTAATTGCAATGCCAGATAGTCCTGCTACTCTGGGCTACAAGTTCAAGACCAGCCTCAGCAACTTAGTGAGACCCTGCCTCAAAAAAATTTTAAGAAGTCGGGACCAGCTCAGGGGTCAAGTGCCCTTGGGTTCAATCCCCAATCTGGGGGAGGGGAGGTGGAGGGGGTAATGGAAGGCCTTTAGGAATGTTTCCTAAGGGAACTGTGGGACTCAGTCCCTTCCTCTTTCTTTCCTTTGCCTCCTAGCCATGAGGTGAATGGTTTTGCTCCATCATGTACTCCCACCATGATGTGCTACCTCACCACAGGCCCAAAGCAGCCAACTGATGTGAACTGGAACTTCCAGAACTGTGAGCCAAAATAAACCTTTTCTCTTTATCAATTGATTGTCTCAGATATTTATTAGAGTAACAGAAATGAGACTAATGCAATAGGTATACCTCCAAAAAGAACAATAAAGCCATAAAGCTCTCTGTGAACATCTTCGAGGCATTGCTGCCACTCACTTCATTCATTCCACTAGATGGGATTAAACCCCACAGTGAACTTAGAAAACTGAGACTCCAGTGAGATGGAATCCTTTACCTCCCTTGTATACAACAGAGAAGACTCACCATGTTTTCTTTGGTGCCTCTTCAAACCTCCTCACTTGTCAGGGATCACTGTTCCTGTTTTATGTACTACTTAAGTAAATTGAAGCCAGAGTAAGGAAGTGGGTTATCTGGGTTAGCGATAGCCCAGTGTCTCAGGTCATCCAGGTCTAAGCTAATGCTGGAAACACAGTGTGGAAACCAATTTCTCTTGTACAGTAGAGGCCTTGGTAGTCTGAGGGTAGAGGAATGAGAAGTCCCCAGAAAGAGAATGAGCAACTTTCTGGGGGTGAGATTGGGGAAGGAGTCTGACCTCTGACAGGTTGCTCAGCTGAGATTCTCTCTGACCCATGATCCAGTGTCAGCACATCCTGTATTTTCTTTTGTTTTGGTGCTAGAGGATTGAACCCAGTACCTTGTGCATACCAGGCATACATTCTACCACTGAGCTGCACCCCAGCTCCTCAACACATCCTATATGAGGGCCCACTCCCTGCACCACTATATCCTTTATAAGGAACAGCATTGACCATTGCTTGGGGTGCATTTGCTAAACCTCATTTTCTTTTCCTGCTTTTTCTCCATAGGACTTGACTTTATTTTCCCTCTTTGACTCCTCCCATTACAAGGTAAGTTTCATAAGGACAGGGATTTTTGTATGTTTTATCCACTGCTGCTTTCCTCAGTGCTTGGAATAGTGGCTGGCATACAGCAGGTGCTTAACAAGTACTTGTAGGATGACTGCAAGGTTCTGCCTGAGAGGCTGGTGATCACCTGGATATTTCAGCACCGGGCCATGGACAGTTCCCAGCCTGCTTGGCCCTGGGAGAGAGGCTCCCAGAGGAGTGATTGGGGAAGGGGGCCCTGAAAGTCCCCAGACTGAAGCCTCCTAGCCCCAGCTATGCAGTCACCTTTGCTGAGGCTCAAGCCCTGCCACTGCATTGCAACTCGCTCCACTCCTAGAATTGCCTGTTCGGGTTTAGCGATTCTTTCTATTTCTCCATGAAGTGCTGAGCGGGGTTTCACCTCTCTCCCTCTAGTGGTCATGGTGCCTCATATTCTCTACCAGTCCTTCCTCTGCCTTTCTCCACTTCTTTCCCTTTCTCCTCTCCTTTCCCGCTGCGTCATGTGCCTTTCTCCTCGGTTTCTCTGTCTTCCTTATCCCTTCCCCCCTACCCTCCTCTCTGCCCCACCCCACTAGACTTGCCCTCTTTTTGCTTGGTTTGAGTCCGATGTGTGGTAAAGGAGAGACAGCCTCCCTACCCCTCCTCCCTTTAGGAAGCAAACATCAAAGAT